CAGCAGGATGCTTAAATATAATACTGTATACAGTATTATATATGTTACTGAACTATGTCAACTTAGTGGAAGCACACATGCATGGTCTTGCAGTTGGATGTGATGTATTTGGGCACTCTGTTCTGAAGTTTGTATAATAGTTAAGGGAATGAAAGCAGTACAGTAGTAACATTTGAACAATGTAATTTATTTGTTATATAATAAAAGTAAGTGAAGTTGTGCCTGTACTTAACAAATTAAGCACTACACCATGAAGACATATGGGGAGTGGATGTATAGGTCCATGTTTTGTTGATCTCGGCACTGGGTGAGTGGTCATCTTCGCATCCTAATGAAAGCACCCCCGGTACTTGTTGGATAGGAGGCTGGGTGGTTATGAAAATTGTTCATCACACACTGCAGCAAGTCTGGACTTGTGTTTATGTTGGTGCCATGTTGGTATTTAACACTAAGAGGATGGTGGGTCATTTGATATCCCCCACAGAAGGAGACGGAGAAAATGTACCTTAACATTCCGTGTCCCTTAAAGGAACAGCTGCAGCCACATGGGCAATGAAACAGTAGTTAACATATATGACAGTTCCTTATTGCACTGGCATGTATGTATAGAGGTAATTAAAGAAAGTTGTATCTTCATTTGTATTTCATATTTGGAGAGGTATAATTTGGTATTTCAGTTGTTTTTTCACTTAATGAAGGAGATGATAATATGTCCATACACAGTAAAGACAATTTGTTTTCTTCTTTTTACACAATCATTCAAAGTAGCTGACTGTCTAGTTTAGTGATAGGCGCTATAAGGACCAAAAATCATTTCCTGTAAACAGAATTAATAACCAGCTGGAGTTAACTAAAGTTCAGAGATCACAGAGAGTCCATAAATTATGAGAATTCATTATGAGTTCACTTTAAATTATATAATTTTATATCGTTCTGGATGTAACTGTAATCATTAAATGTGTCCCTTGTGTTTTGTTTGTGATGCCATTTGGTTCTAAAAACAGGACAACGGATAATGTCAAAAAAGCCAATAAATGCATTGAGCTGTTAAGGATATACCATCTTTGGACCCTACCTTCATTTTTCATTTACTGTCTATGGAAATTGTCAAAAGGTAACATGCACTAGAGCCCGTTTTGTGTTTCTCATGTTTTATGAGCCGTATATTCTATTCATAAACACCATTAAAAAGGTAAAGTTAAGTAAGCTTAAGTAAGCACCGTGCTTTGAAGTTGTATTGGGGGATGGAGGTATGGCTCCATGCATTCTTAACCTAGGGCTGGGTGGAGGTGACTCTCAGCTTCATGCCCCAGCCACTTTACTTCCAGGGAAGAAGCACTGGTATCCCTTGGATAGCAGACTGGCCCCTGGAGAAGTAAATCTTTGCCCCTCTTGGGACTCAAACCCTGATTCCCTGGTGCTCAACCTGTAACCTAAGCGCCATATGGACTAAGCTATCCTGGCTCCTACTTAAACATCTGAGGAGATTAAATACATTTTTTAGCATTGTTGACTGATATATGATCCAGTATTATGCAGCTGTTGTAAACATTATTGAAATTTGAGTATCTGATCTTAATTGAGTTGCTGATGATGATCACCGTCAGCATTGCCAGAATCTTTCTGAGGGCTGGGAGCAGCAAGAAAATTTGCTTTTAACCTTACATTTAAGCTATTTAAGACTGTTTTTACTGATCATAGTAGAGTATTCAGGGTAGAAATTTTTTTTAAAAAGAATTTTATTTCTAATTATTGATATTTTGTGTGTTCCTTTTTTTCATTTTCTGTTGTTTTTTTTTTTTTTTTCAAAAATCCAGGAGGGGGGGTAGATAGCCCCACTGCCCCCTGCCAAATGATCTTTAGCTATTACAATTCATGGAGTATTTTAGCAATGTGTTAAAGTTGTAATAATCTGATACTCTAGATCAGCGATGGCCAACTGGCGGCCCGCGGGCCAGATACGGCCCGCGACNGTACAAAAAGGTAACAGCTTTGTGCCATGGACTGGTTGGGAATATGCCATGGTCATCAACCCCAAGGTAGGCTCAGTAATCCCATAAATTGTCCTCTCTCTTCTGCCATGTCACTCAGCATCTCTGAATCCTGTGGTTTTATGGATCATATCTTGTCAGGATGCTCTGCTTGAATTCATTCCTGAGAGCTGTTGGTACCATACCTCTTTCCAGTCATTAATATTTCCACCTCCTCTTAGTAACAGTGAATACTGAAGCCAACTGCAGACTAATTTTATTTTAGGATATTGGCTCTTAAAGACACTGATGTTTGCAGATGATCAGGTTATTTGTACACAGTCTGAAAATGATTTATAGTTGGCTGCTGAACTCTAATGTAACATTGAAATATAATCTACCGATATCTTATAATAGGTTTGAAGTTGTAATCTTTGAAGGTAAATGAGAAAGAATTATGAAAAAGCGTGAGATTTAAAAGTTAGAAATTTTTACCATATAGGTTTTGATATGTCATACAATTATGTTGAAGATCTGCAAAAGAAATTGCATGTATTTCAGTGGGCGGTATCATACAGTGACCTCTTATGAATAAAACTAGGAAAAATACACAAGTTTTTAAAGTAATGGCTGCACTGTTCTTTTTGCATGGATGTGAAATTTGGGCATTGAAGATAACTTAAAAATTGAAATGACCAAAATGAGATTTTCAAGAGAGTGGCTAGTTATGCTCTACTCCAAAAGATACTGTCATGTATTTAGGGTTGCGTGACTGTAGACGAGGCATGGATTGGATGAATTGGATTTATTGACCACTCAGAGCTACTACACTTTACGAGTAAAGATCACTGACACAGACTAGTGTCCTTAGTCTATTACAGTCTCCACTGGCCATTTCCTGGGATTTGCTTCTACTGAGGAAGATTCTTTAGCTTCCCACACTCAAGTCCTCTTCCCACAACTGCCTGTGCAGACCTCTTGTCAACTGACAACTCACCTAACTGGGTCCCAGGCTGGCTTCTATTTCACACTAACCTCCTAGTCTTCTCTTCACAGGCCAACTTTCAACTGACAACTGAACTCTCTCACCAACCAATCAGCTACTTCATGTCACTTCACTCAACAGAACTCTATCACCAACCAATCAACTAATTCACTTCACTTCACTCAAATGAATTGCTGACAACTGAACTCTCTCACCAACCAACCAGCTACTTCATGTCACTTCACTCAGCTGAACTGTGACAACTCTGACTATTACAGGACTCGACTGACCCTCATTCTGGCATGAACCATGTAGAAATCATCATTTCCATTGAAAGGGGTGTTAGTTTATTTGCCTATTGCATAGCAGTGGCTGTTGATTACAGAGTCACCCTTAGCAATGGGTCTGTATGCCACAGTACTATGATATATTCCTGCATCAAGTGGACAGAGGGAGCCACCGGTAGGGACAAAAGCAAAATGGCAACGTCAGTTGAGAAAGTGGAGGCTCGCACTCTGATACAGTTAATGCATTTGCAAGGGAAGTCTGCCAGGGAGATTTACGATCAGATGACCACTGTGTATAAGGAAGGTGTACCATCATATGACATAGTGGTCAGGTGGAAGAGGCACTTTTATTGTGGACAGACAAACCCTGAAGTGGAAGACCATCTCTCACTGAGGAACCGAGGACTGTGGCACAGGTGCAAGCTTTGATCCTATCCAATAGACGCATAACTATCAAAGCTACTGTTTATGATGTCCGCATTAGCCATGCGTCAGTTTTCAACATCATCCATGATGAGTTGCACATGACAAAGGTCGCTGTGCGTTGGGTGCCACGATTGTTGAAATCAGTTCAAGAACAGCAGTGGATGGATGTGGCAAAGAAACTTTTGCAGTTGTGTCAAGACAAAAAGGTGGAACTCTTTGACTGCCTGATCACGATGGATGAATGTTGGGTCTGTCAATATGACCCTGAAACAAAGGAAATGAGCAACATGGAAACATGCAGACTCACCGCCACTAAAGAAGGCCAAATCCCAGCCGTCATCAGGAAAGGTGATACTGAATGTGTTCTGGGATTGGCGGGGTGTCATCATGACCGACTACGCACAAAAGGGCGTCACTATCACTGGCTAGTACTACCGGAACATTCTGAGAAAATTACGGGAGGAAATCAAGAAAAAGCAACACGGAATGCTGTGAAAAGGTGTGTGACTTCACGACAACACATCGGCTCATGCTTCTCATGCTACGATAACACTTGCTGCCAGTTTGAGATATGAAATTCTCCCCCATCCACCATATTCACCAGACCTGGCACTGAGCGACTTCTTCCTCTTTCCACGGCTAAGAAGCCACTTCGTGGTAAGCGATTCCAAGATGATTATGACATCATTTCTGCAGTGGAGGACTTCCTACACAGTCAAAATGAGACCTTCTGTGATCAAGGTACCCAGCAAATAATACATCATTGGGGAAATGTGTGGCTTTGCAGGGTGAATATGTAGAGAAGGGCTAACTCACCATTTCTTGCACCTGTTTCTCTGTTTCTTCTGGGTGATAATTAAAATTTTATGACTTCCCCACATATACATTTTTGTAAAAGTTCAAATGTTTTGGGATATGAAACATGAATTTAACAGACCTCCCCATTGTGTTTATTTAATTTAGATAATGCTTGAAGAAAATAAGAATCAAGCCCATGTATTGATTCTTAGTGTTTTTGTGTCTTGTGGGATGTGATGTCTTGTCCATTAGATAGGTACCAGTATGTCAGGGCTTTGTGGTTCCTTCATCTTCACAGTGGCTTGTATTCTTGATGTATAGAGATTGAAAGACTTGAAACTTTTGCTGTTGTTGGTTGGTAGATATAGATTTGAATTTAATTTTATTTATTGGAGTGTGGAATTTTAAAGGAAGTGTATTTACTGTACAGAATGAATGTATCATCTTCAACAACAGACATTTTAGATGAGTCTCCTGTATTAGGCCATTTGTATTTTGTGGTAAATCATACTTTTCTGTATTTTTTTTTTCCAGAAGTGGTCAACGAACAAAATACCACCAGCAGTCATATCATGCCATTCGAAGTTTTCAGTCATCCACAGCATTATGTGAGTTTCCTTTAACTTACATTCTGACTAATGTTTTCTATTATTCATACAAGTGACTGCCATGTTTGTACCTCATATTTAATGTCTAATATCAGTTCTAGTCTTATAAATTTATCATGATGGTTTGAATGACATAAGGACCCTCATCATCTACATGGTAAAGTCATTAAGTTCGTGGAATGTGGTTTTATGGCATCATATTACAAGGTATTCACATACACTTACACAGATCCACATTGGCACTCAGAATAGTTGCCGTTGGCCGCTATGCAAGTCTGCAAATGTTCATATAGCTGCCGAAAACATTGCTGAAACATATTGGCAGGAAATTCCCATACGGCGTTTCTTGTGGCAATGACCACCTCCTCGGACGACTGAAATCTACGACCACGTAGCTTTGCTTTCAAGCGGTGAAAGAAAAAGAAATCGCATAGTGCGAGAAGAGTGTATGGCAAAACGGTGACCCATTGCCTTGTCAGTTCCTCTTGGACAAGAACAGAGCGATGTGCAGGGGCGTTGTAATGTAGCAACATCCAATTCTTACTACGCCAAATATTTTGCTAGGGAATTTACCTAGTTTTTGGCAGACCTTGATGTTTGCCCATTGTTCAAACTGCCACATTTTCGATTTCAGCCACTTGCATTTAACTGCAGTTCACAGTGCCTCTGTGGATGCAAAGGATATTAGTCATTGTGTGTGTACATGCATGTGTGTCACAAACTAGTCTTCTAGTTATGACATGTTGTTATAGTCTGCTATGTGGGTACCATTGTTTTGTGTGCTTCACATATATTGCGTTTTTTACAAATTGAAGGTCGAGTAATTTCGACTTTCGGGTCGTATTATTTAAGAAATGCATTTCGTAAGGATATGTCTGCTGTAGATTGTGATTCCCTCTTATGGATATGGGTAAAGAAATTTGAAAACCTTTTGCAAAGGGTTCGCCATTGTAAATGCCATTATGAACATACACAATTCATGGGAGGTCAAAATATCAACATTAACAGGAGCTTGGAAGAAGTTGATTCCAGCCATCGTGGATGACTTTGAGGGGTTCAAAACTTCAGTGGAGGAAGTAACTGCAGATGCGATGGAAACAATAAGAGAACTAGGTTTAGAAGTGGACCCTGCAGAAGTGACCAAATTGCTGCAGTCTCATGATAAAACGTTAACGGATGAGGAGTTGCTTGTTATGGATGAGCAAAGAAAGTAGCTTCTTGAGATGGAATATACTCTTGGTGAAGATGCTGTGAACATTGTTGAAATGACTACAAAGGATTTAGAATATTACATAAACTTAGTTGATAAAGCAGTGGCAGGATTTGAGAGGATTCCTTCCAATTTTGAAAGAAATTCTGTTGTAGGTAAAATGCTATCAAACAGCATCACGTGCTATGGAGAAATCTTTCATGAAAGGAAGAGTCAATCGATTCAGCAAACTTCATTGTTGTCTTATTTTAAGAAATTGCTACAGACATCCCAAACCTTCAGCAACCACCACCCTGATCAGTCAATAGCCATCAACATCAAGGCTAGTCCCTCGATCAGCAAAAAGATTATGACTCACTGAAAGCTCAGATGATGGTTAGCATTTTTTAGCAATAAAGTTCTCTTTAATTGGGTTATGTGCCTTGTTTTTTTTTTAGACATAATGCTATTGCACTCTTAACAGACTACAGTATAGTGTAAACATAAATTTTATATTCGCTGGGAAACCAGAAAATTCACATGACTTGCTTTATTGCAATATTTGGTTTATTCTGGTGATCTGGAACTGAACCTGCAGTATCTCCAGGGTACATGTATGCCTGTATGATCATGACTTACAAATATTTAATTATTTTACATATTTCTGTAGATTTATTTATAAAACATGCATACAACGTCACACGCACACAAATATGCATTGTGACCTGTCTCTGTTGCTCAGTCGGCATAGCAATAGGGTACAGGCTCGATGTGTGGGAAGGGATAGAGCGTGTGAGGTGTAAAACTGACCTCTTGCCTCTGTCTTGTGCTGAGGTCAAGAATGGTGGAGCCAAACCAGCCCACACACTGCCACAGTCTTTGATGTACTTGCCAAGTTCCAGAAAACAAGTCCCAGATTTTGCAATCTTTAAGGTATATGAGGTCTGACAGTCACACAGGATATGGGAGATTCTCTCATCTTTGTCTTGGCACCTTCCACAAGTTGGATACTGAGTGGTCCCGGTTTGAGAAGGTGTCCATTCAGATTATAGTGTCTTGTAAGTAGTCCTATCACCCATCTCAGCTGGTTCCTGTTTAATTCTGATAATTTACTGGTTCTCTCTGCAGAGTGTCCTTCCATGTTTAAGTCCTGTTATGGACTCTCAGTGCTTTCTCTGATATCTGCATATTTAGTCCCAGCTGGCCTTCGTAGTAACTCCTAATGAGGCCGCGCCATAGCTCAAGTAGTTAGTTGCTGGCTTCCCACTGTGGTGGCCTGGGTTCGATCCCGGGTCTGGTCAAGTGGGATTTATGGTGGACAAAGTGGTGCTGGGGTAGGTTTTCTCCGAGTACTTCGGTTTCCTCTGCCATTCCTCATTCCACCAATTGCTCCACAATCACCCACACCCATCATCTGGGGCTGGTACAGTAGGCCAGAAGTGTCCGCTGTAGAAGGCACTTAGTCCCACCCCACAAGCAATAAAAAAATAAACTCCTAATGAGTTGCTTTGTTCTGGTTCAGGTCTTATAAGTGAGTGTTAAGACCCTATTTTTGCCAACTGATATGCAGTTTCATTGCCTCTCATTAAACCTCTTATTTGGCCCTCATAGAATTTCCCTGAATAAGTGCTAGATCTGCCATTCCAACAGCAACTTGTTGGAGCAGAACTGCTGCAGCTGATTTGCTGTTTGGTGTAGATTAATTTGAATTAATTTAATTTTTTCCCATTCTCTTTACCTTCTGCTTACTTTGTCTCTTTGAGGTGGTGGGTTATGTTGCTACCCCTTCTCCTTTCTCTCTTCCTTCTCAACAAATCGGGAATCGTTTAAGGAAGCCCCCTTATCCACTGGGAGCTGCAGCTGGCGGAGAATCCCCTGCCACCCCTACTTCAGTTAATCCATTGAGCTGAGTTTTGGAAATGTTTCCATAGTAGTCCCTCTCCCTTCAGCAGAAGGTTTTAAGGATTATGGGCTCACCAAGACCTCCCCCTTGAGTTCTACTTCAGGACCTAAAAAATTCCCTGTGTCTTATAAAAATCTGACAGCTTATCTCTTTGTTGAATTTCAGAGTCCCATTCTGTAAGAAGGACAAGCCACTGGTCTTTCAGCTCTGGGTGCTTATCCGGCACCATTTGGTGCTTTGTATGAATCCCAGGGTTGAGGTCCTTAATTCACTTTGGTAGCTCATGAAGACTCTTGACACTCTTGTCCTTCTTCCTGAGAGCCACCTTGATAGGCCTGGGGAGGTTCCTGGCATCTATTGCTTTCAGCCTGGTTCCTGACCCCAGTCTCTGATTTTCTTTGGCTTTGATAAGCCATTATCTAGAGTGCAGGGCAGTGCACACACATGAGCATGCCTCCTTTCAACCTGAAGGACAGATGGGTTGCCAGTTTAAGGGGGTTTGCCTTGTATAAATTAATGCAGGTTTGATGTTTCTGTAAAAATGCTACCAATTATGACCTGCCTGTGAGGGGCTTTGTAGGTTTTGCTACGTAAATAGGCACACAGAGAAGTATGAGCATAAAATGTGATTAAATATGAGTCATACATATAAAGACATCACATTCAGAAGTACATTTTTGTGTATAAGTAGTGCAATTTGATTTCTTTCTTTAACTCATCCTTATTTCACAGGTGAAGAAATAAAAATAGTGACAGTTCCGCCATTTGCAGAGTCGGTTTCAGAAGGAGATGTAAGGTGGGAGAAAGGTAAGCAAATATGTCACAATGTCATCATTACTGCTACTCCTGTTGCCACTGCTACTATTCCACTACTGATGCCATTGCTACTGTTGTGGTTACTTCTACTACTGCTACTCTTGCTAATGCAGGAACATTCTTAATGCTGACTTGTCCATTGCCGGCCACAAAGTGCATGTGAATTTTGCCAATGACAGCTTGCTTGACGGCCGATAACATAAGGAATGAAGGAAGATAATTAACTTGAAGACCTCGACACAGTATTATGTTACACAGTGGGCAGTGTGGTTCATATATGTGGAGTTTATGATTTGTCAGCAGTAGGCATTAGGTATCAGCACCATGAACCATTTGTTCCCAGTTAACAGTTAGTCAACACTGTGACACGACATGGTTCGTGATACTTTAGAGCAGTGCGTATTTCTGTATGACACCTACGTGAAATACAGATCTGCTGGAAAGTGTCGTTGAAAATTTTGACATAAATTTCATAATGAAAGAGTTTCCAACCAACAGACAATTCATAATTGGTGAATAAACTTAGAACAATGGGACTCTTAAGTGCCAAGAGCATATAAAGGAGAAATTAGGTGATGTAGGTGCCAGACTTGAACATACGCCTAGAAAATCACTGAAGCATCTAGCTCAAGAAACTAAAGTGTCAGAGTCCAGTGCAAGAATGGCAGCACAGTTATTAAAACAGTTCAGTGATAGTTGGTGTATCCGGTGCTGTAAGCGTAAGAAAGATTGATGTATGTGTGTTTTTTAATGAAACAATTAATTGTGAAAGATATTTATGTGTACAGGGATAGTGTTTCTAACACCTCCTGTGATCTGTGAACAAAAGTAAGACTTCCCATCATTCCAAATATTATCGGTATGCTGAGTCATTGGCAGAATTCACGTGCACTTCGTAACTGGTGGTGCGCCAGTAGCAGTGAGGCGCAAAGCTGTGAACACTTCAATTTTACGAGTATTAAAAACAGCCTGTTCTACTGCTGCTCCCACCATCACCATGACGGAAATAAATGGGTCTCTGGATTTGCATGAAGCTCATACAGGTCGTATGGAACATGCCTAATTATATGCACATAAAGAATTATTCAGTTGGGTTGATTCATTGCACTGAAAATTTTTTTTTCATTTGGAGTAAAAAGTAAGCACTTCATTTGTAATTATCGGAATCAGTGTTGAAGAGGACTTGCATTATCTTGAATTACAGCTTCAACGCATCTCTTCCATCGGTTGTTAACAGGATATTGTCTTGTGATATGAGAGCAGTGCTGGGGTCTAAGACATATCTGCCAGCCACTGTGGTATAGCAGTAATGTTCTAGGCTTGTGTTCCAGAGGTGCTTAGTATGAATCTTGACCTCGACACTGAGTATCTTGATTGAATTTTTCGTGGTTTTCCAAAGTCTCGCCAGGTAAATACTAAGATGGCACCTTGTTTAGGCCACATCTGCTTCCTTCCATATTCTTTCATTATTCACCAGTCATAGTACCATTTGACACTATGTAATCTGAAGTACTGTTAGTGTCATAAAAAAACAACAAAAGAAAATTAATGTTTCTCTCTCATTTTTGTACACCAGCTGTTCAGATTCATTCCAAACACATTAACTTAATGCGTTTTAAACTTGAGAATTAGGTTGTAATTGTGTGCAGTTTACTTTTTTTTTTCAGTGGCACTTTCAGCCCATTCAGGGCCCTGGCCTATTCTTCAGTTCCATAATAATTTTTCGCAGACAGTAGGACTCCTTTGGCTAGTGGTCAGCTCGTCGCAAGGCCTGTAACCACAGGACAACACAAATGCAGGATAAACATATACACACACCAAACATCCATGCCTTAAGTGGGATTCAAACCCATGATTGCAACATCCAAGTGAGCCAAGACAGTTCATGCCTTAGACCACCCAGCTCCTGTGACTAGTGTGGACTTCACATATCTCTCCATAATTTTATCTGACACTTTTCAAAGTGTGGCTAGTATGAATGCGAAAGTTCCTGTTTGTAACATTCAAAATGAAAAATATTTTCATGTGTAATGAATCAGCTGAACCTGAATAATCCTTTTTTTAGTATACATGCTGAGGTCTGTTATGTGCAACTTGTATGTGTGCCGTTCAAATCTGTAGGGCAGTTCATTTGTGCCATTTATTTTAAATGTCGGTTTGTTTATGTTGTGCCATAAAAAGAACTACTTTGATGTACACAGTGTCTCTATGTACATATTGTATTGCATGTTCAAAATATGCAATCAAATTTTGTCTTGTATGAGGTTTCTTCTAAATATAATTAAAGAGGATGTGACCACAGTTGCATTGATATTTATGAAATGGATAATTGTATTTTATATTGTGTAAGTAATTATCTCTCTGGATGGAGACTTAAAACAGTTATTAAATGCATTTGCCATTGACATAACAGATTTTAGATCTTTGAAGAATTAGACCCTAATTATAATTACAGTGAAATCTTCTTTTAAGGTTTCTTTGAGGAGCAGTGGATATGGTCTCTAAACTGAGGAAAATTTGAAGTTGAATGTTAAATTTTGAAAAACCTTCAAGTGAGGAATTTTAGATGAGGGTTGCACTATATCACAGAATACTGTATTTCATAGTATTTTTTTTTAATTTGCTTAGTGGTGGGGGAGTCCAACTGGGTCCACTCGGCACTGCGGCCACTGATTGGCCTATCGTAGCCTGCCCTGGGTGATGATGATGGAGCAATTGGTGAAATGAAGATTGGCAAGGAAAACCGAAGTACTCGGAGAAAACCCACCCTAGCGCCAATTTGTCCACCACAAATCCCACTTGACCAGACCCGGGATCAAACCCGGGCTGCCATGGTGGGAAGCCAGTGACTAACCGCTTGAGCTATGGCGTGGCATATTTCATAGTATGTAAAGTCTGAAAGCCTGGAAAAAAGAAGTGTACAAAGGTTGAAACTGTGTGATAATCTGGTATATCAGATAGAACTCCCTGAATGTAAGTTAGACATTCTTTGTATCTTACAGCACATAATTATTGTAATATTAATCATTCAACATTTTATATGTATAAATTCCATGGCTTGTAGTCTGCAAGCGAACTATACCAACTGAGTGAATGCCGCTTGTCAGCGAAGTTAGTGCCAACTTTAGTGGATAGAGAGGGTCACGTGGTCAGTGCAGTGGTTCCCCACGGCCGTTAATCTTAGTTTTCTAGACCGGAGCCGCTATTTCCTTGAAATAGTTCCTTAGTTAACCTCACGAGGCTGAGTGGACCCCATTCCAGGCCCAGTACTTTTCAGTTATTGAGTTTTTGGACATTATCCTGTTTTTTATTTTAAAAAATTCCACAATCCTGCTTTTTGTTTGAAAATAAAATAGAGGATGATGGATAATATCCAAAAACTCAACAATTGTGTTATTTTACAACCATTCAGTACAACTTAGCAAAGAACTTTCAGAACCTTGTCTTCTTGGTGCTACTTTTGTTACCACCTCAGAAATTTGAAAGGCACCCATTTTGATATCATTGAAGGCAGAAAGCTAAGACTAACTGAGATGAATTGTCATAAAATGCGATTCTGTTCATACCAAGTTTCAGGAAATTCAGGCAGTTAGTGTATATAATAATGATGTCTGAATTTTAAACAGACACTCTTAGCTCAGTTATAGGGTTACAGGCGAAGGAAAATAAGCATTCCTTTGGGGCCCTAAAAGTAGTAAAGTCTCTGTGCTTACTTAGGCTACATGCCATGCAGTTTGTGCCCTGTCCACTTTACCGCAGGGGAAGGAGTCTCTGATACCCATTGGGTAGGAAACTGTTTCAGTTTTTCAGTCTATTGCCAATTCCTACACTGACTGAGCTATCATGGCTCCCACCTTAAAGTGGCAGCATTTTTAATTCTAAATATTGAACAGTGTAGGGTCTGTAGTTTTGTGGTCATGTGAAACTTGGTCTCTGAAGAACAGACTGAAGGTATTTAAGAACAGGGTGTTGAGGAGAATTGGACTGAAGAGGGGTGAAATGGTAGGTGGTTGGGAAAATTTGCATAATGAGGGGACTCATGTGAACATGGTAATGAACCTTTGAGTTGTATGAAATGTTGCAAAATTCTTCAGTAGCTGAGTGACAGGCCACTTCTCAAGGACTCAGCTCTATGGACTTAGTTAAACAGTGTAAGGTAGTGACCAGAGCAAACAAAATTAATCATAATGTAATGTGTTTGGTGTCTTGCAAGTAGTTGGATCCTTTGCATATGAGATAATCTGTATAAATGATGTGTTAACCATGTTATACTAGTTTTCGGTTTTATTATATAAATTTTGTTTGTCAGGGGATAGCATTATCAAAGTAATAGCTAGTCATTTGAAAGCAGTGTCACAATGAAAAGTTATTATACAGCAATCAAGATTACAGACTTCTGAGATCAGTAAATATGTACCATTGTTTCAGAGGGACCTGCTGCTTTCATCTTTCATCATACCCCAGGTTATCCTATTAATATTGAGAACCTAAAATCCTGTTTTACATTGGTTCCTGATTTCTTTTTCAGCTGTGGGAGATACTGTAGCTGAAGATGAAGTTGTATTAGAAATTGAAACAGACAAGGTTGGTATTATTTAAATCTTAATCTTTTTTCCATATACATATTCCATAGTGTGTCATTATTGTGCTAGGAGATTTCAATGCCAAAGTAGGGAGGGAAGACATTTTCAAACCAACGATTGGGAATGAGAGTTTGCATGAAATTAGTAATGATTATGGAGTTAGAGTAGTAAACTTTGCCACATCAAAAAATCTTACTGTAAAAAGTACAATGGCAGCTTGCATGCGCACCATTCTGTTCACATCTGTCAAAGTGCATGGTACCCACTGTGCATTCACCTTGCAATAGTGCAGGTGGTATTTCACGATGCCTTCTACACTACCAACACTGATGGACAGCATTGCTCCAAGTTCCTTGATAGTGATGCGCCTATTCTCACGAATAAGCGCCTCTGCATGATCAATGTTTGGCTCGGTGATGGATGTTCGCGGCCGACGATCGTGCGGTTCATTCTCCACATGCTCTCTGCCCCCTCTGAAGCACTTACACCACTCAAATACACACGGGTCCGTGAGAGACACTCTTCCCTATACTGTTGTTGGAGTCTGGTGTATTTCAGCAGACAGGACATTTTCTCCGAGGAATTTGATCACAATGCATTGTTCCACACTCCGCGGTACCTTCTGTTCGCTCATCACTCTAGCAACTCCCAGACAGGACTGAACAGGAGGGAGGGTGGAGGTTGTGGCTTCACCCTCTCAAGGTCGCACAGCTGCTGCACAGTGCAGCTTGTTTACACACAAATCAGTTCTGGTCATATTTGAACCACATTGTAGTAACCAAAAGCCCCGTAATAGAGATCTTGCTCAGCACATGGGACTTTTCTTCTGTAAGGTAGCTTACTCAAGACATGTCAACCCTAAAAGATTAGTCCCACATATTAATCGTATCTCAGCTCCCTTGAGCTGTTATGCTTCCTCTTCAAGTGTATGTTCCTGCAATCTTCTCCATGCGTGTTGGCAGTAATAACCTGACAAGTGCTTTGGGCTGGTTATCATGTGAAGGGATTGTGACTATAGGCAGAAGGGTGCAGACAAGGTTTCACCATCCTCACTATCCATGGAACTTCTGTCCGCAGTCTGAGCATAAATATTGGTGGGATCCTATGTCACATGTGATCCTGTAGTGTAAAAGTCTGTAGGACAGGTCATGCTGTAATGTTGCTACTTTGGTGTGGATTTATGTAGGGCAGAAAGAGATGCTAGTTACTGGGTGCAGTGTTTTTTTCATGCTATGAGAGATCTGTTTGTAAGCGCCTTAAATGATTGTTTTTTAATTTTCAGTAAGCAGTGTTCCATGTACAGGTTTATCAAAAGTTTTTTTTTTCTGTGTGAGGTATTTAATATGCCTGTGATATACATGTTAAAGGACTTAGCAAAACTGATATGTATTGGTCACCTGTGTTTAGTAAGTAGATGAATTGCTTTATATACACGAACGTTTTACAGCAGATAACATATGTCAGCTGTCATAACAGTGTAATGGTCATTTGTTGTTGTTGTTGTTGTTGTTGTTGTATTGCTGTTTAAATTCTTCAGATTAGGTGTTTGTAACAGAGATGTTCTTTGTTTACATCCATCTGTAAAAACTTTACCCTTTTATGGCCATGTGTTTCACTGTTGCAGTTGTGTATGTGTGGGGTCCAACTGACCAAGTGTTATGTTCTTTTCAATACTAATACCCATACCCTCCAAATTAACACAGCCAGACCCCTACATAAGGAGCTTGTAGTCTGGTCATTATGCCAAGATTAGAACACCACAGATACACAACTTCAGAATTAAATATCTGGTAGTTCAGCAAAAATGTTAGTGTCTCCATGGTATCTAGAACATGACACTTGATGTGTGTGTACATAAAGCAATAAAGGAGCAAGCTGGCAGAAATGGGAATGCTTCTGTCTTATATTTGGGAGGTGACCAGTTTGACTGTCATTACCGAAACTTATTTTGCTACACATGTCAATCCCTCCTGACAAATGTAGGCTAGAACTGTGCCATTTGCCATGGATTGTGTAGGGTAGGTATTTAGCAAACATTGCTGCATACATATTCATAAGTGCTAGCGTTAGAAGGCAAGCCAATATATTGTCACGTGTTGGGTGTATAACGCGACACATAACTTCACGCCTTATTGGATGCAGTGAATTTTATTCCACATTCGCTCTTACAATCACACAAATTACAATCTCACAATTACTGCTGTCTGCAGTATCACAAATGCTACACTGCAAATGCTCTTAACTCGTAACTGCTGCCTTGAGAACTAGTTAGTTAGTTAGTTATTTAGAGAGGGTGGGTTTCCCCATGCACCACGACCAGTTTGATCTATTGTGCTTCCCTCTATGATATTCTACCAGTCTCTTTACCCTACCGATAAATGGTGCATACCATCAGTCCCGCCGAGCAAGCGAGTTTGGCCACTTGCTTAGCGGTGTCTATAATGCTTCCCCCATCTATTGGAGGCCTTAGAGGCTATTGTTGGGCAGGAAACGTCCTGGAATTTGGCTCAGTGATCCCCTTTGGGGATATGAGGTTCTTTTACGTGCCGTAAAGTTACGACACGGGACCCACAGCTTAAAGTCCCTCTCGGAGGACTTGTTCCCTGAATTTTTCCGCCCTTAAAAATTCGACGCCCTCCGCCAGGTATTTGAACCCGCGTACCACGAGTCATGAGGTGGGAACGTTACCTCTAGACTACGGAGGCCGCTTTGCCTTGAGAACTAACTCGTAGGCTTGTTCGGAACTCGTAACTCTCCGCTGGCTAAATGGAGAAATGTTGATCACACACACTGACTCGTAGGCTTGCTCGGAACTAACTCGGAACTTGAGAACTGTGTCTCGTAACTAACTCGTAGGCTTGCTCGGAACTAACTGGGAATAGTCTTCGCTGCTCCGTATCTAGCCTTGTTCCGGACAACGCAGAAAACAGCCACGTAATAGGCACCATTGTTGTCTGGTGCTGTGTTGCTAGCAACGCTGTCTGGAGTTGTTTACTGCTGCCTAGCAACCGCGGTATCCCTTGGTGACGTCACCGCTGTTGACTCACGTTGCATAGCGACCAGTATGCTGGGACTCGGCTAACTTCAGCTCCGCTCGGCGTGTCACGGCTGGCGGGGCGGGGGGGGTCATGTATAGCGAAACACGTCACAATATTATTACGAACAACAGTAATTTGGCAAAAGAACAGATAAAACAAACGGGAAGAAATGATGAAGTAGGTTAATGTAACCCCCACAGACCTGCATTATTCCCAACCCGTGAGCCCAGAACCAAAGGCTCCCAGCCTGTTTAAAAATACTACTCATGGGTTGACTGCCCACAAGAAGAGGGAATGATGCTGAAGCTGGAACTCACTTAGAAAACCAAATCCAACAGTGATTTGGAAAAGTCCTTCGTCATCCAGTGCTATGTAGGTAGTTGATCCTCTGTAGCAGAACTAGTCCTTGCCAAGTGAAGGTGGAAATATGGAAGGGTAGGAGCAAGGGTGCATGGGCTGTGCAGTACATTCATCCAGTTGGAACCAAGGTTCTGTTCACATGAGCATGCTGTGTGGCTGCACACAACCCATGCATGTGTCACAGAACCTCAAATTAGGCCACATCTGTTTCCTTCCACAGCCTTTCCAATTTATTATTTGTTAACTCAACTTGTCCTATAACACTGTGTAGCCTGAGATACTGAGACCACTGTTAAATAAACACAAATGAGAAGTTGAGAGAAAACATTGGAAAGTAGACACTGTTAAATTGAAAATGTTACAGTTCATAATTAAATAAACACAAATGAGAAGTTGAGAGAAAACATTGGAAAGTAGACACTGTTAAATTGAAAATGTTACAGTTCATAATACATGTATTATGGTTCTTGGCATCATTATGTAAAAATCTGACTGTAGCGCTGGGAGACCCAGATCCCATATTTGTGAATGGTAGGTGTTAATACTTATTAGGTTAGAAGAGGTGAAGTTCATGGATTTGACCATTACATTCTGTTTAATAACTGAAAGGATTTATTCACAAGTGCTTTCATACTAAAAGCATATACAAATTTGATGAAAACTTGGATTTATTGACCATAGAAGAAAGGTCTGCACACTTTTCCATACATTATAGCCTCACTAAACATTTATTTTCTAGTCTATTCGTAGCGTGTTAGTGTGTTGCATAGGGATTTTAATATCCAGAACTGGATGGATAATTTAATTCTTCTGCAAACTGGGAATGTGTATCCTCATTCTTGTCATTTCTGCTCATACAAATATTGTGTTTCTGGACATTATCCATTGCCCTGTTTTCATCTAAAACACCGTCCTGTTTATTTAAAAACAACATTTAAGGGACTGGATTCAGTCTCAATCTTCAGGTGGTAATAACTCGTTGTTTACATTCCCTACAGAATGGACAATACTTTGTAAGATGAAGCACCGACTAAATAATTAACATTAATATTTCTATATCTACATCATGAGCCTCCAATACATTTTTTATATATACATAAAATATAGAATATTCCAATTTGTCCGTGGGAACGCAACAAAATCACAAAAACCAACGACTGACTCAATAATGTAAAACATCAATCGAAGAAATTTATTCTTTTATACTATAACTTTTGTTTTATATAATCTAATTTATTGTATTTTTACGTCAAGTATTTTATATAATTAATAATATTGTGTCCAATTTTACTAGTACTGCGGTTCAGTGATGTATATATGTTAACCATGTATTTGCCTGATGATGGCTATTAATAGCTGAAACATATAGCAGAGCCAAAACTAGGCACTGATCTTGATATTAGTTGTTTTGTGACCGTTGTAATAAAGAAATGATAATAACTCAGTTGGGCCCAATTGTAGAGCTGGTCCCTATCTCTGGACACCTGCACCAACACCAGATAGGGTATACAAGCCAAGCACAGCACAAAACATCTGCAAAAGCTAGAACAGAACATTAAAATATTAAAATCTCCACACTTATAAGGCTCATGATTTGTCAGACTACAATGAGATAACTGCAGAGTGAGCCAAACTTCAGCTTTTTCACCATGAACATTCATACTTCGTTTTCCACCTTTTCTAATGAATTGGGTTCCACAAGGGATTAGAGATTTGTTGCCTACTCCACAGCATCCAGACCAGTTCTGGGGCTCACCCAGCTTCCTATTCAGAGGGTACTGGTGCTCTTTCCTCAGGTGAAGCAGCCAGGGCATGAACCTCATCGGTCATTTGATTTGTTTTGTTGAATTTGATTTGATTGTAACTGAACGGTCATATTCATCTAGTTCCAAGGTCAAGAATTGTGGAGCTGTACCTCCACTGCCCTCTGTGTCTTCATTTCATAATGTTTTGTTAATTAAGCACAAGGACAACATTAGCTTTTACCTGATGAGTCAGAAACAATGATAAAAGGAAGTGAATACTCCAATACATTATTGACATGATATTTATGCTAGAATTCTTTTATGTAGGACTGAATTATTTTATGCTGGAGGATTGGTTGGTTCTATGTAAGTCTAATATAAAGCGTAGCTTCTCTAGGATTAGTCAGACGACGTTTATAAGAGCATTTCCAGGAGTTCACGTTCGTTACAAACATCGGTCAGATTTTTGTAAATAAAGCAAAAACAATAGGTCTGTGAATGGACAGGAAAATTCCAACCTATAGCCAACTGGCCTGGCCACTGTATGCTGAGGTGAACATACATATTACATAGTTCTTACAAAGTGCCATGTGTGGGAAATGTGAGCAGGAGGAGGAAACTGCCTGCCATATTCTTTATCAGTGTCCATCTTTTGTAAGGCTTAGGGTGAAGATCTCTGGCTGTGTGCCATTAAAGCTGGTAGATATGTGGATGGCTCTGGTTCTAGCTTTACCTGTTTGCAAAGCTGGTGGTAACAAGATCAGGGGTGCATAGTGGACCTAGCACGAGTGCTTGGGTGAACTGAAAGTTGATCTCCATAAGGCAATAAAGTAGTTTGGTTTGGAATGGATGTTTGGATTTATTGCACTTATAAACTCAACTGATAATTGCAAATAATACACAGCTGCCGCTAATCTCTGCATTTTACAGTTCAATGCTTTAAACAATAGTGTCCTCAGTCTAATACAGTGTCCACTGTCAATTTCCGGGCAACAGATTTTAACACAGGAACTATGACAGTCTCAGTGAGTTGAACACTCCAGATATTCTAGTACTACAGCACACTTAAAGTCCACAGCCAGACTCTCAACTCCACTGAACGGCACTTAATAATTCTGATGCCTCAGTTCCTCTGTTTCCAAGCTCATATCTTGGCAGGTTGACAACTCAAAACTTATCAAATTGCCATCTCTTCTCAACCAGATTTGGATCCTCGTTATATAGCCTTAGGGCAACCCCAACAGAAAACAGTTTCCTATCAGTTTCTCTATTGTTATAGAGGTATGTTTATGTCACCATTGCATAGAAACGGCAGTTCTTCTGTTGCGTGCATGCTCATTTTCACAGGAACCTGTTTACCGAGTGATTGCCTAGCAGTGAACTATGCCGGCTTTCAGATGTCGTGTCACAATAGGAACATAAATAGAGGATTTGGGTATGACTTTTGTAAACTTGTGTTCAAACTCCTTCTGGTCACATGTCAGTAACTTTTAATTTATAAAATACCATTCCGAAAAGAAACAGTTGTTTCAGGGTTTGGAACTGTCCTGCAGAATTTGGCGGTTGTGCTTAAATATAGTTTTATGTTTCAGACCTCAGTGCCTGTTCCATCGCCAGGAGCGGGTGTTATTGAGGAGAGATTTGTGGAAGATGGAGCCACTGTTAAGGCTGGAGAGAAACTCTTCAAGCTTAAGCTTATAGGTATATTTATTGAAACGTAAAGTACCTGAAGTTTTTGGTGTTAGGAAAATTAACATTGAAACCCCAATTTAGTGGTCCTGTATAGATTTCTGTTTTGCCTTCCAGAACTTGTATCTCAGTTAAGTGCATTTATGGTTGAAAGTACAATCAGTATTTACATTTTCTATGTCTTAAGGCGCATCCACATTACTTGTGCTCGCTAGGCATGTGCTCGTCGGGAGACTTGTCTGGCTTTACTTGTGCTCGTAAATCTTCATCCACAATACTTCAGTTGCTCGCCAGGCTTTGGCGCGTGAGGACCCGTATATTTACTCGTAGTGTGTATAGGCTGTAGTCGTATTTTAATTTATATGGACAAATACCGTCTTAAGTGCAACAATTTTATTGTAGTTTTTACTTCTTTTTCCTCTTCCACACTACATGTTTCGGCCCTAAATGGCCATCATCAGGTGTGTATCACTCACGCAACTGTTACACTGCTTGTTAAAAATTTAAAAACACCAGTCTTTCCAATGGTATAAAATCTTTGTCAATCTACACGCGTCAATTTGATCTTTAAATTAGCACTTTTTAAACCCCAATTCAAGTTAAAATGTCTATAAGATCTTTGTTCTCTTTCTTTTTCAAATTTTTCAATTAAAGTTTTTCAGGGTACATGCCCTATATCTACGGTGCTGCAGCGGCCACTTCTTGTTTTTATCGCCGTTCATGTGTTGTTCAGTGTAGGCGCTCTCTGTGTGTGTCGCTGCTTATCTTTAATACGTGTGCTGTCTCATGTATTTGTCCATATATATTGTGTGAGTGTAACAGGATGCTGAAATATAATATTGTATTTTAATTTATTGGCTATAGTTTTGAAATTAAAAATTTAAAATTTGCTTGTCTTGTGACTTGTCATATTGTCCACATTACTTGCGAGCATAGCGAGTCACGAGCACGAGTAATGTGGACGTGCCTTTAGAAGTCATTATCTTACATTCATAATTTCTGACACATTCAAAACCACACTGCATGTGACATTATAGTTGCTTTGATTCATGACTGAGGCTCTTTAACATTTTTATTTTATGTGTCTTTAATTTTATGTAATTGTATTTACGTGTTCAGAAACAGTTCGTTTAATTACTTATGTAAAGAAGGGGAGTTGGCATAGCCCAGTCAATATAGTGATGGGCTGTGGGCTGGACAGCTGGGGTTCAATTCCTGGCAAGGGCGGGAAATTTTTCTGTGGGATAGGTGGCTGGGGTGTGGAGGTTACCACTGACCTCCATCTGCTGCCGAGGTCAAGAATGGTGTAGCCATACCCCCCTCTCCCATATGTCATAATAACATGGACAGTTTTGCATTTTACTTGTGTAAAGAAATTATTTGCCTGCACCAAGCAAATAATAAATATTTCAGGTGGACTGTGCTTTCTTTCATCTATCTGGTGGCTTCTAATATCTGTAGGTGGAATAGGAGCAATAATTGATAAATGGGTAATGATTCTATATCATGTTCAGAAGACAGCTCAAATCTCAGTTCAGAGAGATGTTCCCCTGGTGGAAGATTTTCATGGATTTTGTATGATCCTGCAGGCAAATAACAAGGTATTTTGTAGGATTTAAGGTTCTCACAGTGGTGACTGTGGAGAGTTCTGTTATCTGGAATGTAATGCCATGTAGGCTGTTGAAAGTCAGTTGAATTTTTGGAGGATATGTCATTTGTTTTGTCATGTGGATTCTGTCAAAGAACCTTTTGTAATAGATTCAGTCATCTTGTAGCAGGAGGAGCTGCTCCCGCTCCTGCGAAGAAGACGGAAGCTGTGGCAGCCGAACCCAGTCCACCTCCGCCACCACCACCCCCGTCTCCACCTCCATCAGCTGATGTGGCACCTCCCTCCCCTCCGTCTCCAACACCAGCTGCAGCTGCACCTCCACCACGACCTCCACCGCCTCCACCCCAAGCACCGATGTCTTCAATCCCTGTGGCTGCCATTAGACATGCCCAAGCGATCGAGGCTGCCACTGTGAAACTGCCGCCTGCAGATCCAACCTCCGAGATCACTGGTACACGATCTGAACAACGAGTGAAGATGAACCGAATGAGGCAGCGTATAGCACAGCGTCTTAAAGAGGCACAGAACACAAATGCCATGCTTACTACATTTAATGAGATTGATATGAGGTATGTTATTAAATGTTGGTTGATTTTCCACTTAACGCAAGTTGTTTATTTCTGTACCAACACTGATCAAAATAATGATGGTTTGTTACTTTAACTTTTGTTCAAGATCATTTATATATATCATGTTTTCAGTCTGATGATAACTGATGGCCCATTTTGTATTGGCAGATGAAATGTTGTATGATGTTTAGTCATAAATATATTTGTAGAACTGGTAGGACATATTTACACTTCTGCTGAAAATTACAAAATGTTGATAGTGAAAACACCTTACGGTTTTGTACGAAAATTTTCAGATGTGGCAACACTATGCTAACATGAATTTTGAATGAAGTTGTGCTAAGTTAAATGGAGTTTGGTAAGTAGAACCAACATTTCAGAGGAATTCACTGCCTCAGTCCTGTACCCTGAAGATAGGGGCAGCAAATTCCTCAGAAATTTTAGTACCTGTCTGCCAAACGATGCAGTGTAACATTCCAGAAGACCACAATTTTAATTTCAGATTCCTCAGTCTTTCAGTTTTGTGTACATGAAAAAGGAAAATAAGGTTGAGGTATTCACTTAAACCTGTTTGTTGTAGACATAGCATTGGGATAGAAAGGTGGAGATACCACTTCCAAAGAAGTTTATGGAATTTGTACTAATTTGTAGATGCGTCATGAAGGTACTGATGTGATGAATTAGTTATAGTATCAGACGTGTGTGACATTAACCCTTTTGCAGCTGAGTAAATAAAGCTTAGCAACCCCCCTTCCCATTTTGAATTAATTGCAGAATGCTCTTTTATGAAAATAATGAAAACTCAACTAGAAATATGAATATTACATGTACACTGAATCTTACATTGCATGATGAAGATGGTTTCGGTTGATCTAAATATATTGTCGCGTATCGGGCGTATATCGCGACAAATAAATTCTCGATGTATTCGATGTAGCGAATTTTATTTCACATTTGCACTTACAGTCACCCAAGTTACAGATTTACGGTTACTGCTATCTGCAGTATCACAATTAGTACACTCCAAATGCCAGAATACAACTGACTAGTTGCTGGCTAACTCGGCGGTAGCTCCAGGACTCGCTGACTGACTCAGTACAACTGACTGTGAATAGCCTTCGCTGCTCCCTATGTAGCCTCGATCGGACAATACGGCCACGTAATAGGCACCCTTGTTGCTAGCCACGCTGTCCGGGGTTGTTGACGGCTGCCTAGTAACCGCGATATCCCTTGGTGACGTCACCGCGTTGACTTGCGTTGCCTAGCGACCAGGATGCTAGGACTCGGCTAACATCGGCTCGCTTCGGCTTCGCTCGGCGCATCACGGCTGGCGG